AAAGATATCGAGAATAAATGCCGTAACTGTTCATCATGCATTCAAGCCGCTAAAAATCCTTTGAAATGCGAACCTCAGCATTGGCCTACGCCTGCAGGACCCTGGGTAAGACTTCACGCAGATTTTGCCGGTCCAATCCAAGGAAAAATGGTTCTAATTATCGTAGATGCATTCACTAAATGGCCGGAAGTATATATCATGCCAAATTGTACAACGTCAGAAACGACCCACAAGTTGTTTCGGAGTACCAGAGACCTTAGTGACAGATAACAGCTCGCAGCTTGCCGCAGAATCGTTTAAACATTTCTGTAGAACAAACGGAATAACTCATCTTCGTTCTCCACCCTATCATCCACAATCAAACGGACAAGCAAAGCGCTTTGTGGACACTTTTAAACGAGCATTACTGAAAGGGGGAGGAGAAGGGACAACTGGGCAGGTGATCACAAAATTTTTAACATCATACAGATCCACCCCGAACCCAAATGTTCAAGACGGCAAATCTCCCGCGGAAGCCATGTTCGGAAGGCGCATTCGAACCGTCTTCGATGCCATGTTGCCATCTAAATTAGTGGATGAGCGCAGTCACGGTCCAAGTATCCGAAACTTCAGTGTTGGCGACAAAGTTTACATCAAATCCTACATCGGGAAGAACCGATGGTAGCCGGGCGAAGTCATGCAAAAACTGGGGAGAGTACTGTACAGAGTTCGAGGAGCTTTTGGGACATGCTTGCGTCACACAAATCAAATCCTTAAGGACAAAAGAACGGTGCAGACTCGGAGTAACCGGCCGACTTTCCCGTTAGATTTAATCTTAGACGCACCAATGCCACAAACGCCCAGGAACACTGAAAAGAAGTCTTGGACAAGAAAGACGACAAGAATAATGGGACGCCGTCGCAATCCAGTTATCAAACTACAAGTAGATCCCAGAAAATCTTATTCAGGGGAGGTGTTGGGTCGGCTTTCGGAGAACTTCAACGGAGCCTCCAGAGGCCCAAAAAGGAGCCGAAGGGCCTAGCCAATCAGAGTATGATGGAACGTTCGAGAATTCCACCGTGGCGTGCTACCATTGGTCGGTAGCATAATATGACGTTAACGGATTGGCTGAAATGTGATGTTGATTTAACAGACGCCAACATCTATAAATACCCTTGATTTTCTGTACTAGAATGAACCTTGGAATAAAGTGTTTTCTCTCATTCTTGTGTCTTCTCTCTGGAGTTCAAGTCGCTGTGTAGTTCTAGGCTGCGGGTTACCGAAATAGCTTAGGAATCGTATATAGCGTTCAACCTACACGACTTATCAATATTTAATGGTCACGAGGTAATATAGAGGGAACTTCTGAACAGTATACTCATCTTTTAGTAAGTATACAAATAGATTTTAAGAGTATTGCATTTAGAGAATGTAAAGACTACCTGACGCACGATTTTAAGTCATTTACTTAGATGGCCGCATTACAATTCAGTAGATAGAATTCCTTTAACACTTAAGACCAGAAAACTTGGTAATACTTAATACTTAGAGATCGATTAATTTAACCAAGTCAGTTCTATATGAAACTCCGCCTGTAGCTCTTCTAGAGTTACTGCCGGTCCCAAGCCCGGGTAAAGGAGGAGGGTTGGGCATGGGGTTAGCGTCCCCATCCCGTAGAAAACTAACTCGCTAAAAAAACGCTTACCAGAAAAAATAATTCAAACCATTTTAACTCTGCCCTGAGAGTTAGGTCTTCATTTAGAAGAATTATGACGCTTCATGGTGAAAGCCGAGTTCCTTCGGAAGCCACGAGGCCGATGCCCCTTCTAACAACCAGAGCAAAAATTTTTATAGGTACATGGAACGTTCGAACAATGTGGGAAACCGGGAAGACCAGCCAAATAGCAACGGAAATGAGGAGATACAACTTGGCAGTACTGGGAATCAGCGAAACCCACTGGACACAAGCTGGACAGAAAAGGCTAGCTACGGGAGAGATGCTGCTATACTCCGGTCACGAAGAGGAAAATGCTCTACACACTCAGGGAGTTGCTCTAATGCTGTCCAAAGTAGCACGAAATGCACTTGTAGGATGGGAATCTCACGGATCCAGAATCATCAAAGCATCATTCAAAACAAAGAAGGAGGGGATCACAATGAATATTATCCAATGTTATGCACCCACCAATGATAGCAACGACGACATTAAAGATCAATTCTACGAGCGGCTGCAGTCAATCATAGAGAAATGTTCAAGAAAGGACCTCACCATTCTGATGGGAGATCTAAATGCCAAAGTTGGGATAGACAACACCGGATATGAAGATATTATGGGACGACATGGACTGGGAGAGAGGAACGAAAATGGAGAAAGATTTGCAAATTTATGTGCATTCAACAAATTAGTCATAGGAGACACAATATTTCCACACAAACGTATACACAAGGCTACATGGATCTCACCGGACCACACTACAGAGAACCAGATAGACCATATTTGCATCAACAAAAAATTCCGAAGGACAATGGAAGATGTGAGAACCAGGAGAGGAGCTGACGTAGCTTCAGATCACCACCTAGTTGTAGCCAATTTAAAACTGAAGCTAAAAATGAACTGGACAAGTGGACAAACAGCACTACAAAGGTTCAATACAGCCTTCCTTCGAGATACTGACAAACTCAATGAATTCAAGATAGCTCTCAACAACAGGTTCCAAGCCTTTCAAGATCTACTGAAGGAAGAAGAAACTACCATGGTGGACAACTGGAAAGGCATCAAAGAAACATTGACTTCAACGTGTCAAGAGGTTCTGGGCCTAAAGAAACACCATCATAAGGAATGGATCTCTATAGAAACACTGGACAAGATCAAAGAAAGGAAGAACAAGAAGACAGCAATTAACAACAGCCGAACACGAGCAGAGAAAGTCCAAGCACAAGCTGAATACATAGAAGCAAACAAGCAAGTGAAGAGGAGCATTAGAGCCGACAGGAAGAAATACGTGGAAGAATTAGCAACGACGGCAGAAAAAGCTGCTAGAGAAGGAAATATGAAACAGCTTCACGACACAACGAAGAAACTATCAGGGAAATACAGTAAACCAGAGAGGCCGGTCAAAGACAAAGAAGGCAAGCCAATCACTGAAATTCAACAACAGCGAAACAGATGGGTAGAATACTTCGAGGAACTCCTGAATAGGCCGGCTCCAATGAATCCACCGAACATCGAAGCAGCACACACAGATCTTCCTATAGATGTCAACCCACCAACGACGGAAGAAATTAGAATGGCCGTCAGACAAATCAAGAACGGGAAAGCAGCAGGACCCGACAACATACCAGCTGAAGCACTGAAATCAGACGTCGAAGTAACCACAAGCATGCTTTACCCTCTATTAAAAAAGATTTGGGAGGAGGAACAAGTGCCAATGGACTGGAAAGAAGGACACCTCATCAAGATTCCAAAGAAAGGAGATCTGAGCAAATGTGAAAACTACAGAGGCATTACACTACTGTCAATACCAGGGAAAGTCTTCAACAGAGTGTTGCTGAACCGGATGAAGGATGCAGTAGATGCCCAACTTCGAGATCAACAAGCTGGATTCCGAAAGGATCGGTCGTGCACAGACCAAATTGCAACACTACGGATCATCGTCGAACAATCAATTGAGTGGAACTCGTCACTATACATCAACTTCATTGATTATGAAAAGGCATTCGACAGTGTAGATAGGAGGACATTATGGAAACTTCTTCGACACTACGGAGTTCCTGAGAAGATTGTCAATATTATACGGAACTCATACGACGGACTACAGTGCAAAGTAGTGCATGGAGGACAGCTGACGGATGCATTCCAAGTAAGGACCGGAGTCAGACAAGGCTGTTTACTCTCTCCCTTCCTCTTTCTTCTGGTGGTCGACTGGATTATGAAGACCTCGACATCTGAAGGAAAACACGGAATACAATGGACAGCTCAGAACCAATTAGACGATCTGGACTTCGCAGATGACCTAGCCCTCCTATCACGTACACGTGAACAGATTCAGATAAAGACAGCCAATGTAGCAGCAGTCTCTGCATCAGTAGGCCTCAGTATACACAAAGGGAAAACCAAGGTCCTCACATTCAAAGCGGAGAACAGCAATCCAATCACCCTTGATGGCGAAACTCTGGAAGATGTAGAATCCTTCACATATCTGGGAAGCATCGTCGATAGACAAGGAGGTTCAGATGCAGACGTAAAGGCGAGGGTTGGCAAAACAAGGGCCGCATTCCTACAATTGAAGAACATATGGAACTCAAAACAACTTTCAACCAATATCAAAGTGAGAATCTTCAATACGAACGTCAAGGCAGTTCTACTGTATGGAGCTGAGACTTGGAGAACTACAACAACCACAATCAAGAAAGTACAAGTATTTATAAATAACTGTCTACGCAAGATACTCAACATCCATTGGCCGGATACCATCAGCAACAGCCTTCTGTGGGAGAGAACAAACCAACTTCCAGCTGAAGAGGAAATTAGGAAAAGACGATGGAAATGGATAGGACATACATTACGCAAATCGTCAAACTGCATCACGAGGCAAGCTCTAACTTGGAATCCTGAAGGGAAGCGGAAAAGAGGAAGGCCAGAGATCACATTACGTCGGATAATAGAAGCAGATATGAAAAGGATGAATTACAACTGGAAGGAGCTGGAAAGGATTGCCCAGGACAGGGTTGGATGGAGAATGCTGGTGAGCGACCTATGCTCCTTCACGAGGAGTAACAGGTGTAAGTAAGTAAGTAAGTTCTATATGAAGTCAGTCACGATCCATAAAGCTCATAAGGAACCAGATGGAGTAACATCTGAATCCCATGGGAATCACCAGTTCACACAGATGAGTACCAACCAGCATGAAACTCTGCAGAAAAAGAGAGTTTGATACACTGAACAATACAATAGATATATAATTCGATGAATATAGTTTAAAAAGAACAATTATTAGCTTTAAAAGAAATAGTGAACTTGCCCAGTATAGCTATCAAAACAGTTGGTTCACGTGATTTAATTTGTTGTAAAAATGGAAGAATATCATCCATTACAATCCATTTGTCTAAATGATCTAGTAATTTTCCAATGCAGAGAAGACAATTCATACGTGTCTACAATGAAACGAAAGTGGATGATATATATAAGGACCTAGATTTATGGGTTAAACAAATAAAGAACAATCTACGGAAAATTTCAACCAACAAATAACGTTAGCTAGAGTATCTATTTAAAATGTGGAACCCATCTCATCTGGGGTCGTGGTGCTCACAATCGTAAAAGGTTTAGGATTGGATCATAATAAATATTCAGGGCATCGTAGTTCCCAGTGGTTTTCTAGCTAACATCAGTTCATCATGAAAATTAAATACAAATCATAAGAATGTTTCTACAAAAATTACTCCTCAATAATGATAATAACAATAATAATTAAAATAACCATATACTCATCATTGACTAGTTTTGGGATACAGTTCTTAAAATTTCGATGGAAAGCTGTGACCTGTGAAGTTAAAGACTTCTGAAGTATAACGATATCTTATCAATGACAGTAAGCGGGGATTGTACTATATCAAAAATTTAATGAGTTTGAATATTTAGATCAATAACAGCTTATCATATATAGGAAATAAACTACAGAGAACGTTGAATAATTACGGAAAGTGGTACTAATCAACTAGTCTCGATATGGATACATAAAAAATTTCCTTGGTTCTGCTTTCCACATATTTTAACGTTTAATAAATATTATAGAAGAAATGAATAAGCGGGACATGAAATACATAAATGTTCTTCTTAACTACATACAGAATGATAATATCTAGTCTACCTAATGCTTTAACGTAGTAGATTCATTAGAAAATAATTCATAGAAAAGAAATTGACAGTAGTTATCGGTTTAGAATTAATCCGTTAATTAATATATTGATAAGAGTGTTTAGCTTCATCACAGAAGTAGCAGAGAGAGGGGAGGGGGAGGGAATAAAATTATGATATCAATAAGTGGGAGTACAATAAAAGCCGCAATCAGAGAGCAGAAAAACCAAACAAAGGATACGTGATTATTCGATTGTAGATCCGTAGAGTAATATTTAAGACACCCGGGTATGCAACCGATGGGGTTGTAGCTTAAAATCTCACTATACTAGTTTGGACTACTGTACTCGGTCAGCGTACCTAATAATCTCATATACAACAAAGTGTGGTACACGAATTTGTACTTAATTAGTGAGTCACACTAGTTGAAATTCATTTGATTTAAAAGATAAATTACGCATTATATATAACTGATTGATCACTGAGTAGTGGCTAATGTCATGCTTGTCCAGTCATTTAGTGCTGATCGAATTCCATAGATTAAGTTGCAACGTAGTCGACAGGCTAAGTGACTCAGTATCACCCAAACTCTTTTGAGAAGTTAGATAGTTGAATATGGTAGGTATGAAACCTTTGACTTGGGTTTCGTGCTAAATGACGCTTGTCAGCAAGGCGTACCTGTGATCGTGACTGTATTTCAACAGCAAATGCAATATGATGCAGCGTAATATCATTAAGGAAACTGAATAGTCAGAGACAAAACGAATGTAACACTTTTTACTGGCTTACAACAATCGATTAGAGGAGTGACATAATGTTTTAATATGAATCTGGTGAACTTTTTCTACTTCAGCAGAACCTAATACTTGTTCATGCGATTTATATTTTACATAGAATATACGTATCTATATATCCAAAGGTGTGTAGTGTGTGAAATTACATAAAATAATAGAAAATACACACCATTGTTTACATATAAAGTGGAGTATTTAACACTAGAGTGCAGTTGAATGACCAATCAAAATAATAGTCCAAATGTTTGATATCAAATGAAAAAAACTTATTAGGTAGGTTATTTAGTTGCTACATGTTAACAAATAACTTTGTCATTGGTCAGTTTTACATATCAATGAGACAGTTAAATGAAACATTGTGAATTGAGACGATGATAGGTTTATTTTGTATATGGTTTTAACACTATCTTAGGAACTAATCACTGACTTTTACAGCTTTTATTTTGTAAGTTTCACGTCATGAGACGCTTAGAGCGATTTACAAGGACTTCATTAACTAAAATCATCATAAGACCTAACTAGTATTTTCAGAACAAATTGGTAAGTATTGTTAGTGACTGCTTCATAGTTAGACGGCATACGAACAATGCCAACTTGTCACCTGTGAAGTAGGAGAGATTTCTGTTTATCAACAGACGGACGTGTATACTGAGCAGTAGTTCGTTCTGTTCTGCTTAATGGCTTTGAATAGTACACTTTAAAAGTGTAAGATATACGTAGGTAACCAATGTTTGATTACAGATCCCTTCGGATTATAGCTCGCATATGTTGGGACCACCGAGTGAGTATGTTGAGTTTAGACACAGGATACTGAGCAAAGATGGTGAATCGATTGGTGAGTCTTCATCAACTGAGGCTGTTGGGACATGTATTATGTACGTCTTATCACCGTGTATCTCGCATGCAATGTGGTCTGGTGCAGGAGCAGGTTAGAACAAAGCTAGGGGTATCAGTCCGTGAACTCATTAACTATTGGACTGAGTCATATATGTAGGTGTTGACTGCCTACTTATTGGGGATGTCAGATCCCCAGAACTCACTTGGTAAATGCCTTATTTTTGTAATTCTATTTTAAAAATTTGAATTTTTACCTTCATGTCGTATTTCCCACTTGGGAGGATCTTAAACGCTACCGGTTCGTTGTCTTTTATTGTGCTATTTTGTAACGCTTCCCAAGGACATTTAGATGTATATATACGCTTGATCTGTGCTTGTTGTCGTTCGTGCTTCTGGTTGCTTTTGGAATGTATTTCCCTCTTGAGAACTTGGACTTCTCTCTCTAGCTAGCTGGGCTGGGTCGCGATGGAATAGCTAGCTTATCTGTCATTGTGTCAAAGAGTCTTCGTTCCGTTCTCAGATCAGGTAAACTTGTAATCTCTCAAAACATAGCACCACTTGAGATTGGGATCTACACAATCTTCGTTCCTAAAGTTTCGAGACACTGAGTGACCTAACTCAGAATCGATTTCCATGGTGCAGAAGCATTCATTCTTTGTTTTTCGTTGGACCATAAGTTTTAAACTTATCATGACATTGTATAGGCCCAATCTTTTCTACTACTAATATTGCTGTTACTACTGCTACTACTACACTAATTATTGTCTGGCTAATTTCATCGCACAGCTTCACAGTCAGAGACGTTACCACTGACCTATCCGGGCCGCAACCAACCTTCTGTAGGACTGAGATGTGATCACAATTGATTGATCGCTGGGTGGTGATCAATGTCATGTGTGTCAAGTCCATTATTATTATTATTACCACTATTACTATTACTATTACTATTACTATTACTATTACTATTACTATTATTATTATTATTATTATTATTATTATTATTATTATTATTATTATTATTATTATTATTATTATTATTATTATAGTGGTATATCAAATTAACGCAACAAACAGTAGAAAAATTATTTGAGGACATTTATAATAAATTAGTTTCAATTATAATCCAATGTATTCTATATGCATAGGTTAGTTACAAGTCGATCACACAAAACATTAAAGTATGTAAACTACACAATGATCCTTGAAGTACTTTAATTATTCGTTATTTAGCTAATATTAACGGTGATAATGATAATAAATCACAATAAATCTTTAAGACACTTACAGATAAATATTCTGTGGATAAACATAAACGTTGTATTCGTGGAATGAGAGAATTTCTTAATACAGTCAAGTCCATTGCTTTTCCAATAGTTGGTAAAGATTTAAGACATAATTCCTAGAATATAATGACGACAAGACAACAGATAAAACATCTAAACAAAAATAGGTTCTTAATAATTAAACAAATACTAGTGGTTAGGATACAAATATTTGAAGATTAGTATTGTTTGAGAATCGTTTCCAGCATGTTGTAGCGGACTATTTTCCAGATAATTCCTAAGGCTTCGTATATCACTCATCCTGATAACTGTTACTAAATAACCCCCAACGGTGAATACATCTCAGAAGACAATACGAAGCGTTGACTACAGTTTATTATGGAACTGAGTAGATCACTAAGTGACAAGCACACAAAGGGAATTCGAACAGAAATGCGAATGTTAGCGAGCGAATTAAGAGTCGAATGACTTGATAAGATTCAAAGATATATATAAACGTTGCCTCCACTGGGCTTACCTGTTTCTCTGTTGAGAGGTTTGTGATAATTCGGGACAAGAAGACAAGTTCACATTTTCTCTAAATCAGTGTAACGTTCCATAACATTAATTTTACTCCCAGTGTGACATTTTTACATTGGGTTTATAATTAATAATGGGAACCACTACAGTTCCCAGGACGGAAGGTAAACACAAAAGGCCGGCGCAAAATAAATATTTATTGACTCTCTATAAACACGTTCGCAAAACAAGTAGTTCAAAAACCCGTCATCATTTAACTAAATATTCCTGGTTCCTTGATACCTCTCCAAACTACATGCTAGAGCTCGCAATGTTCGGAACCTATGTAAAGTAGGCCAATAGGCCTCTTTAGATAGGATTTTAGATGTTCCTTCAGAACAGGTCTGCGCCAGCGCCTGAACTAGTGATCGGGAGCGGCGTATTTGAGCACACCGACCATTTTACATACCTCAGAAGTTTCATCAGCATTGATAGGTTGGCATGTGATATAGTCACGGAAAGAATCCAGGAAGCCTGATTAGCCTTTGAGGATTTGTGTTGTCTGTAACGTAGTCGAGGCACCCACCTACCAACTAAACGACTACTACGCTATGCAGCAGTCCACTCCATTCTAATTTATGGGTATGAAACATGCCCTTTAAGATAGAGGATATTCTCAGTTTACTAGTATTAGATCACAGGTGTCTTCGAAACATTACTTGTGTATCTTGGAACCGACGAGTGAGCAGTATTGATGTCAGGCTTAGAATAATAGGTAAAGATGAAAAACTGGTTGATTAAGTGGTAAGTTTTCACCAACTAAGGTGACTGATACATGTGTCACGTACTCTCACCCACCGTCTACTTCAACCAGCGATGTCGCTTAGAGCATGAGTACGTTGGAAGAAACCTAGGGGTTGCCAAACAAAAAGACTGTATTAGTCCATCAAGACACTGACTATTGAATTCAGACATGTCAACACATGAAGACTTACGAGTTTCGGTATGCGGAATTATTGTAAACAATGGTCGGAAACTTGAATGACACGGCTCAAAATCGTTCACAATGATCCAGGTGCATTAACACCTTTTCTCTCCCTATATTTCAATTCTCTAAATTCTTCATAATTTTTTTAATCATCTCACTAATTTAGATCTCGAATCGTATCTTTGACAGTGATATTTCTTACCACTACTATCACCGTAACTACCTCTACTACCTTAAGATTCATCCTGACAACTAGACCTCGCTATGCTAATGGGCTATGACAACTTGAACCGATGTACGCATAAGCCAGGTTCTAAGTTCTGTTTGACTGACTGATGGATGTAGTGTCTCAACTTTCCAGACAAAAGCTGGCAGCAGAATGAAGTAAAAACCTCTCAATCCCTTGGATATGTTAACCGACAAGAAACCCCGAAAAAATGTTGATATCACGTTAAGGAAGTTATGAGTTTAAAGAAGCCGAACCAAATAAGAATAAACCCACATGGACGATACTACCGCCAATACTTCGAAAAAAGGATGGTTTTGGGACGGAGAAGGGTAACTGAAGAAGATGGAACTCATATAATTACTATAGGGTAAGTTATTACATCTATTTTTACCATGTAATTGTTAAGTAATTTATTCAAGGTGTTTCCATATTGTCCTATTTGTGTGCTTTTATTTAATGAGTTAACAGATGATATACGTCATAACATTCAAAAATTGTTATTAATTAATTGCGGAACTACTGCTGATTCTTGTGTTACTTTTGACTTAGTTGTATATAAACTATGAATTTTTATTTCTGGTGTGCTGTGCTCATGTAATGAATGTATATAACTCTATGAGTGCTTGGGTCATAATAATCGGTTTTTCGGCATGCCGTTTATAACTTCTGATTGGCTGTTAGGGTAAGGGGAAGCTGAGTACTGGAACAGTTGGAATAGGTATTCTTGCGGTCAATCATGGTTATTTTTTGTCAGGTGAATCATGTTCATGGTTAAACAAACGTCACAAGACTAATAGGCGTACAACGTACTAGTATAAGCAGATATATTTTGATTCAGTTTGGTGGAGTTTTTGTATGATTTTGGAGGTCATTTTCATCTTAAAAAGCCATGTACTGAAGATTAAAGCATATTGAACAGTTCTTCCATTTAATTGTGAGACTTTCATCACGCAAGTTCACTCAAGACTGTACTCATTTTCGATCCAAGATCTTGTGAACAGCAAAATACTATTCAGCTACTAAGTCGCAAAGCTAGTTTAAATGTTCAACTTCAATAACCAAATAATACTAGTGATACGTTTCAATAGCCGAAATAAAGTGCTTTTAACACAGAAAAGCAGGGTCTAGAGTTTGGACCGTTAAATGATACTTGGAAAGAATCAGTTAATCAAATAATTCGTAATCAATCCTATTGAGATGAACAAACTGATTAACCGTGTCAGGTATAGAAGAATAATCTATACATTATTTACATCCCACTGTTGATTATATTAACATTAGTAAACAGAAGTAGTGAATCTTGTCAGGTATGATAAAACCAATACAACCTTTCATAGTTGAGTTTGTAACCTTGATCCAGATTGGAAAGAAGAGAAAAAACTTACAGAAGTATTCATTCATTAATAAATCTTCGAAAAACTTGCATAGTTTAATGCAGCTCTAATAGGTCCGATGGAAAATAATTAAAACGTTATTAACGTAATTTTCACTCAAAAAGGTTTGATTATGAAGCTTAAATTATCATTCTTGACATCGTCGGTGCTTATTCTGTATGAAGAAGATTCATATTACCTGATAGATTATAGATGTATGATAATAATAAAATGAGTATATAGAAAGGAATAAAACAAGATAAACTAACCTGTATCATCTTATTGTCAATATCCAAAGCTAACTGTAACATTGGTAGAACATAATTACGAAACTCTTTGATTGGGAATTTCTCACTTAATATATGTATATTTTGTAAAAATATTAAGATAATCTGAAATAGAAAAGAAGTTTAACGTAAGGGGAAGAGAGAAAGAAATAAACAAAGTAGAAAGACAAGCATTTGGGTTTGAAAGTCACTTAGATCAGTTGAATATCAGTCTCTCAATAGCCGTTTGAAGAAATATGAAATATGAATTAGCCTCGGTTAAAAAGCGTATAATAAGCAAATAGATAAATAAAATTACGGGAAACTAAAGCAAAAATCATCATTTTTTAAAATGAGTAATATTGAATTTAGAAATGTGTACTACTGGATCCGAACCCAGTAGTTTCAATGGTTAAGCACTTGTCGAGAGCTAAAGGCTGGGTTCACCCTCCCCAGGAATCCCATTTTGAGGTGAAATGGCTGTTTGGTGTTTTATGATTTTTAATGATACCCTAAATGGGATCAGTCTGTGACGAACACCATGCACAAGTAAATTTAATCTACAGAAAACCCCTCTTTATTAACACAGAAAGTTGTTTTGCGCAAATATACCTTCAATGTACATAATATGATATCACATTATAGTACTTATGAGTAGTCAAACTATTTGCCATACATTTTTTCTAAAGCATAATTTTTCGACTTTAGGTAAAAACATTGCTGTTCTAAGGTTCCTGTAAGATACTTCTGCTTGATTTTATGTTATAATGTAATAATACAATGGTCAAACATGGGGAATCAAAGACAATTCTCATCTCATCGTAACATAATTAGTGCAGTAGGGTGTACACCTTAACAAATCACATGAACCTGAATAGTCAAGTTTAAAAATTCCTGATTACTTATACTTATCAAGAGATTATTGTTGTTCAACGTCATTTCACTTTCTGATTCAGTTTACATTTAGTTGAAATACAAACTTACTTGAATAGGTTCTTTCATTGACATTACAGGAATAAGACGTGGTAGCATATATTGAATAAACTCGTCTTGTGTAACTAAATCCAAAATTTGTAAAACAGCTGGCAGAATAAATGGTACCATATGTGGATTGGAAAAATCTTCAGCGATTTGTGGAAAAACACGAAACAGACATAAACGCTAAGAATAAAAAATAATATATGTATATGAATAACAGACATGGATACAGTGAAGTCATTACATAAGAATCATAGGAAATTCATTTTATCTAGTTAGTTCCCTTTGGTGAACTTTTGTAAAGGAATAAACATTAAACGTGATCAGATGAAGTGAGTTCATTTCGTCTAATATGAAGCATTGATTTGTATAGATAAACAAAATGTTTTACAAATGTAATTTCGGGTGTTATTATTATTAATGGCTTTATTCGATATTATATTTTGATACAATATAGAATTCTCAGCACAATATCGTATAGTTCACCCATGAAAAGTAATTATAATTACTTCTTGAATTCATATATATATATATATAGTTTCTTAAAGTACAGACTAGTTTTTACGACTCATCTATCAAGAGCCCAGGAGAAATATATATTGTTTACCAATGTAAACTATGATGTTAGAATAAATAAATATTTTTAATATCCCGATGAGTAGAAAATTTAGATTTTTCTACAAATTTTACTTATTTATAACAGTCTACCCAATGCTCAATTTATTCGAAATTATCAAATCAAACCTTGGTAATGATACCTATGATGTTAGAAATTATAATGTTGGACTTAGTGACTCGTCATGGATTGCTGACTGGGATTGGATGGAAAAATATGGGAGGCGATCAGTTTATGACATAGAGCCGGAGTATGAAAGATTGCATAGGACTTATGAGTTAGGGTTCTAGAGATGGTGCAACTCAATGGCTTGAGAACCCATTAGAAATATCTCAAAGTGGAAAACAATGAGAATCCTGCTGTAGTTTTCCTTTACATTTTTTACGAAAATAAAAAGGACTCCGACTGAAAATGTTTTTCGGTCATATTGTTAACTGAATGGTATCTTCTGTAGCGTCATTTTTCCATGTATTAAAGCTTCCTCCTTTGTGTTCTCTTCAATTGAATGCCTTTTGTTTTTTTATTAACAATGTTATTTCCGTAGGCTGTGTGGCGCTACCTTGTTTTTGTGCCCAGTTGTATCACATTTTATGCATATTAAATGTGTATTTAAAACTGGCTGAGAAAGGAAATCCGATTAACAACTAGCAGACATTATTATTTAGTCAGAAATTAGATCAACAGACAGCAAATAGTTGTCGGCGTTTATAGATATTTGTTGGCTAAAATGTGACTTATCGTTATGGTGAATATTCAAAAATTTTAAATTGTCTGCATAATCCAAGTAGTTGTAGTTCAGTGAGGAAATACTTCAGGATCTGCAAGTATCTTCGAGATTTAAAATAAACCGTGCTGTGGTGTGAATCATGTGATTTTCTGCTAAACTTGATGAACTGAATCATAAAGTGCACAACGCGTAAATCACTCAATTATTTGAGACAAATACATCTGTTATTTCCTCATTGAGATTAGATGGTGGTTGGAGGTAGTCAACAGGAAACCCTGGACCCGGGTTTCGTGCTACTTGGCACTCGTCAGCAAGGTGTACCTGTAATCTTGAGGGAACTGATGCTCCCTGGCGGATTCGATCTCGTGTCACCCAGCTTCACAGTCAGAGACGTTACTACTGAGCTACCTCCAACCACCATCTAATCTCAATACATAGTGCCCGCAGTGTCGAGTCACCTAGACTGGTGGCTACATTGCAACATGGTCGATAGCATTCGATCTGCACTAATAAGGACTAGACAAGCATGAGATTGATCACCACCCAGTGATCAATCAATTGTGGTTATTTCCTCATGCCCGATTAATTATATCACGTGATACAACCGCCAATTACAGACACTGACTTATACGACCAGGCTAATGACACAACAACCTTTACGAGCCAGTCTAGAATTTTTATTGGTTCTCTGAAATAGTAGCTTCTCTCCTAACACCGCCGGTTCAGTCCAGAAGCTCAATATCAGCCTCCGCGATACGAACTATATATTTCAGACATACTGGGTTTATATACAAACAAACCAGATAGCATCGTATCATAAAATAGAAAATAACAGTCATACAAGATCAAGCCAAAAAGTGGCTGTGATTGTGATAAACTGTTACCAATAAATTGGGAATAACTTAAGGATAGTTAGTCGTATAATCGTAGTCAATAAGTCGAATAAAAGCTTATAATAAGAGGAATATGAACACACATATAATATAGTTACTTAATAGTAATAATATATACATGGTACGGGCGAGAGTGGGGAGAGTCAGCTCTCCCTCTCGAAATGCTCTCACATGGTCACGTGCATACAACCATTGCCAGGGAAGTCCTACTCACTGCCTTCTCGCAGCATTAATGTTGTTTACGTAATTAAGAAGACGAAAAGCGAATGTCCGGCAAATCCACCGGTCGGTGGACACGGAGGAACTATTCAAGGGAGTTGGTAAACCCTGATTCCAAACCAATGGTGAACATGGGCTCCAGTATCCTGAAGGACGGCATGATGTGTGAACCAATCGTTGGTCACCGGCTACCATGAGACTGCATCTCCTGACGTTGCTCCACTGCCTTCTGGATCGAACCTTTAGATCGAAGGCTCTGAGTGTGACCCCCTAAGACAACGACCTGCTTCGATTTGGGCACCCGGGCAGTAACCCAGCCCTCACACAAATCGAATGTTTTATGTGGCACATATCCACTTAATGCCTCCTTGTACCAGTGTTTATATGTTTAAATAAAAGAAAGTATATATATATATATATATATATATATATATATATATATATATATATATATATATATGACAGCCTGTAAATAATTCCTAGTAGTTACCATTCCCTTATTCTTTGTCCAGATATAACAACATCAAATAAGTATTTATTGAATAATCTGTCCAAAAGACATTAGTATAACAACTGACAAAATGAAACGGCACTATCTTGTCCAAATATAATCAGATTGACCCATGACAACAAAACATTCGGTAGGTAAGTAACCACTGTTATGAGAGGCGATTCAACTGTGAAGTAGAAACTTTCGAATCTATTATTGTACAATTTTATTTATGAATATATTGACTGCATGTTTACCAAGTATTTTGGTTTGTTTAGTTTCGTATTACCTTAGTTCCAAGCTTTTATTTGGACCGTAAATTGTTGTCATAGCATTTTCCACTCATAAACTAGAACCGATTACTTGTGTACTCTGCACTCCGTTTTCCCCATTATTAATGTTATTGTTCCATGTTATTTATGTTACTCAATTAGTCTGCTACGTATGTATATAAATGAATATCTGAAATATAATAACGATTTTGAGACTTGTGATCATAGGTCTAGTGTTCTTACTATTTGTTCAGAGCTAGTTAGAGTTACGTTAACCGTCAAGCATATAGTATCAGTCCTCCTCGTGCTTGCTGTGTATTGGTTGGTGCTAGGACAACAAATATGTTTGCCTATTAACCAGTCATCTTCGAAACACATAATAAATAGTAGTATTATATACTTTATAATGATACTGTAGCTATATTTTAAAGTTGGGCTCAACGATATGTAGAAAACTATCACCCACTCATAAGAATAACTCACTTTTGGCAAAGCATGAATAGAATTTGGCAAAGATTTATAAAACTGTGATCTAGATAAATTATCCAATTGATACATATTATCCACACTTCGCAAAACTGACATTGATGCGTCTTCAAAATATGTTGTCTGAAAAATACCACAAAAAAACATCATGTATGAAATAAGTATTGGGAAGATCATATAGCTAAGAATTTTAATGTGACGGTGTGTCACGAAGAAACACTTGTCAATAAACAATGAAGACATTTTGATATACCCTAAATTTATGGTGAGATATTCTTAGCCAGCATTTCTTAAACAAAACAAAGATAGGATAGTATCTTCCACCCAGTCCCTACATAATCTAAAAAATAGGCACTGCTCAGATCTACTGCAGACCGAAATTCATTGAAATAAATAAATGTCTATTGCTCATAGATACGTTTACAGTATCCTTGAAGGTAGCTTAAAGGTTTTTGTCTTCAAAACGTAACCAATAAATCAGGAATGAACATTACAGAGTACACAGTGAGTTGGAGAGGTTCGGTGAAGATAAATGGATAAATAAATTTCTAAAAAAACAATAAAATGATACATGCTGTAGGCGAATTACAAAGACTTCACAGTCGACAACATATATGGTATCTAGATATGTTAAGCCTGAACACCGGATATTGTTAATATTGAGTTCCTTAACTGACCAACATCCTATAAAACCTCATCAGCAAATCATTCAAGAGGTCGGATATGATTGATATTTCATTTCACGGCAAGTTTAGTTACGGAGGTTATTTACATTATTAAGTCCAACCACAGAGTATTAGTGACCTCTAAGCAGAATTCCAAAATGAGAAATATTTGTAAATTCGGCTGATTAGATTATAAAATAACATAAATAGTTGACTTATGGAGTTTAAAAAGAAATGTTGATTGGGTTAATCTACTTTGGATATTTTTCGATTTAAATAAAGTTTCCAGAGCTGGGAATTGACATTTTCTAAGACAGTCATTTTAATCTCGCCGTTGTTAAACATTGTATACACATTATTTCAGTAAAATACTTTAATATTTTACTCTGACTGTACTACTATGATATGAAAAATATCAGTCATCATAAGAACATATCGCTAGAAACTAAAACAGGTGTGAAAAATCCAGAAAAGTATATTATTAGCCCAGAACAAATTACTTGTCAGCTGACTATCGACTTTCCCATCGAATCATCAGGGAGTGGAATTCATTACCTCAGCATGTGGTTGAGGCTCCATTCGTCGACTATTTCAAAAGAAAGTCGGATGAACTGAGAGACCATCATTACTAGAACTAACACCGGCCATCAAGCCTCCTGTCCTTTCCAAACTGAAACTGAAATTTGTGAGCAGTTGTACCAAGTTAAAAATTAAATGAGAAACTATTTTATCTTATATGAGATAACTGGAGGGGATATATGAAGAGGGGAAGTAACTCATTTACCAATTACATAATGATGTAATCGAATTTGAGCTACATTTGTTATGTGTGTTTTAGTGATTTCTGTCATAAACCCAAACAGAATTAGACAAAGAGGAGTTTAAACCTACAAGTCTAACAGTTCAAAACCCTCCGTTTTAATTGTCAAACCACCACTTCACTTTTATTCCAAGTTGTAAAAAAAAGATGAACAATCATCTCGTGCTCATATAATATTAGTTGGTTCATCAAAACCTATCGATGATCTGTTTGAAGTTAATTTTAAACCACTTTAGTCAGTAGTATGTTTGAATTAATGCTAATCACTTACATGTAAAAGTATATTATATACATAAAGAAGAAATACATTTTCTTACAAATTTCTATGCACCATTAGATGACCAATAATTCAAATAAATAATAAAACACGATAAAAATAAGAAAAATGAGAACAATTAAATATCAATATCTTTATGGTCAGTCAGTTACAACGCAGGACCAGGCACATTCATGCATCGGTCCAAGTTGCCACACCTCATCACCACAGCAAGACGGACATCGGATTCATAGAAGCAGTTAATGCAATTGTGTGATAAATGAAGGAAAGATTTCATGTAAGGATATAGTACAGAAAGAAAGAATTAGTTCGTAGAAAGAAAGATATGAAATAACTTTAATCTCATAGTTTAAGGGAAGACAGAAAGTGTGTACACCTACGCCATTGTGATCGATCCTGAGCCATGTCACCCAGAGTCTCCAACCATTAGTTACGATAGTCACGTGGACCCCATCATAGATCTACTGATGGAAATAACTTTCTCGTCGACTGAGTTCTCGGGTATTGATCTCCTACCAGGAGGTCCACTTATCGACTTAGAATACGCAGATGACATAGTCCTGTTTGGTGAAGACGCTGACAAAATGCAGAGTCTTCTGGTAGCACTGAGCAACAATGCCAGGATGTTTGGAATGCACTTCTCTCCCTCTAAATGCAAGTTGTTGCTTCAGGACTGGTCTGCGTCAACACCTGAACTAAGGATAGGGAGTGAAGTAGTCGAACGCGTTGACAACTTCACTTATCTTGGAAGTCTGATCAGCCCTAATGGGTTGGTATCGGACGAAATCTCAGCACGGATTCGAAAAGCTCGTTTGGCATTTGCCAACTTGCGTCACCTATGGCGAAGGTGAGATATCCGTCTATCAATAAAAGGACGAGTATACTGCGCGGCAGTCCGTTCTGTTTTAATTTACGGCAGCGAAACATGGCCACTAGGAGTAGAAGACACTCGTAAGCTATTAGTATTTGACCACAGATGCCTCAGAAATATTGCTGGCATCTGCTGGGATCACCGGGTAAGTAATAGTGAGGTTAGACGCAGGGTATTAGGGAATGATGGTAAATCAGTTGATGAGGTTATGAATCTTCAGCGACTGAGATGGTTGGGCCACGTGTTACGTATGCCTGAACAACGATTACCACGACGTGCAATGCTATCCGGTTTTGGAAATGGTTGGAAGAAAGTTAGGGGCGGCCAAACCAAAACGTGGCATCAGTGCTTGAAGTCACTAACTTCTAGTCTGAGCCATGTTGGTAGATGCAGACTACTTGGTTGGGGTCCGCGTGACTATCGTAACCAATGGTTGGAGACTCTTAGTGACATGGCTCAGAATCGATCACAATGGCGTCGGTGTATACACTTCCTGTCTTCCCTTAAACTAAGAGATTAAAATCACTTCATATCTTTCTTTCTACGAACCAATTCTTTCTTCTTGTACTATATCTCTATATGCAATCTTTCTCTTACATGCTATGAATCCGGTGTTCATCTTGTTGTGCTGATGCGGTATGGCAACCTGGACCGATGCACATATGTGCCTGGTCCTACGTTGTAGCTGACTGACTGACTGACAACCAAGTAGTCTGCATCTAGCTATCTTTATGGTCTTGAAATAGAAGAGTGATTAATTCATGTTTAAATGAAATGCAAAATATCTGTTAGTAAACTAAATATGTCAAATTCTAGTGATTGAGAAACAGTGCTTCCATGTTTTCAATAGTGATCTAACTTAGATCGACTCATGAATTCAACTGTGAAAATACTACAATCTCCATAAATCACCATACTGGAAATAAAAGACGTCACTCGTTCAATTTTGACTCAACTGTTAAGTGGTACTTCACACATAAACATAGGTTCAAGAAGGCACCAAATAGATATGAGCCACATAAAATATTCGATTTGTGTGAGGGCTGGGTTACTGCCCGGGTGCCCAAATCGAAGCAGGTCGTTGTCTTAGGGGGTCACACTCAGAGCATTCGATCTAAAGGTTCGATCCAGAAGGCAGTGGAGCAACGTCAGGAGATGCAGTCTCATGGTAGCCCGTGACCAACGATTGGTTCACACATCATGTCGTCCTTCAGGATACTGGAGCCCATGTTCACCATTGGTTTGGAATCATTTATTTTATTTTTTATTTGAACACATGAATATTGGTACAAGAGAGCGCCAATATATATGCGCCACACAAAACAATGGGAATTCAAAGAGAAGTAGAAAGAAAAAAAACTAAGGAACGCAAAAGAAAAAGAGAACAATGACGAAGAGATTGGAGTAAGGTAGTGTGGTAGTAACGACGGAACGAAAAGGTACAATCAGAAGAAATCTTTCAGGTAAAGGAGACACTACCACTTTTTATGAAGAAAGTAAAAGAAGATTACAGCAGGATCGCCACTGGCTTCTATTCTGAGCCATATCTGATAACGTCTCTAGCCACTGTGTTGCACCATCTCTCAGACCCCAACCAGGGAGTCGTGAAGGACCGACTGAAGCCAGCCTTTTGCAGCTTTCTTTCATACCACGACACCATGTCATGCACTGACCACCTCTCCGCTTCTTCCAACCAGTCCCAGAGTCGGCAAATAATGCACGACGTGGAATTCTCTGGGACGACATTCGGAGAACATGTCCAAGCCACCGAAGTCGATGTTTCAAGATGGTGACACCGATTGCATTATCATCTCTGTGCCCGAACACACGATGCCGAACCTCTGCATTACTGACATGGTGTTGCCACTGAATGTCAGCAATCCTTCGGAGACAGCGATGATCGAACACAGAGAGTCGTCTAACGTCCTCAACTCGGAGAGACCAGGTTTCACAAGCATAGAGCAAAACTGCTCTCACCGACGCGTTGTAGATCCGGCCTTTTACAGCCAGACTAACATCACGAAGGCGCCAAAGGTGGCCCAGATTGGCATAAGCCGCTCTGGCTTTCAATATTCGTGCATTGATCTCATCACTCACACCCCCACCAGCACTTATGCAGCTACCCAGATACACGAACTTCTCGACTACTTCTATCTGTTCACCGTCCAGGGTGAGTACAGGATTGGAATCCTGCCAGTCTTGTAGAAGTACTTTGCACTTCGAAGGTGCAAAGCACATACCATACCTACGGACACTGATTGCCAAGTGATTAAGTGCGGATTGCATGCCTTGGGCATTATCGCACAGTAAGACAATATCATCCGCATACTCAAGGTCGAGAAGTCTTTCTCCAGGCAACAGATCCACACCACCATTACTTACATTCATCAGAGCTGTTTCCAGAATGTCATCGATGGCAAAGTTGAAGAGGAATGGTGAGATTTGGCAACCCTGCCTAACCCCACTGCTCGAATGGAACAATGGAGAGAGGTGGTTGTATGCCCTCACTCTGCCTGAGGTGTTTTTATATAGGGCTTTTAGGATGTTATTAAACTTCTCAGGCACACCCTTCTTCAATAGACAATCCCAGAGAACAGCCCTGTCCAACGAATCGAAGGCAGCCCTGATGTCAAGAAACACTACGATTGTCGGCCTTTGATAAGTATGGCGGTGTTCTAACATTTGGCGGAGGGTGAAGATATGATCAATACATCCTCGACCAGAACGAAACCCAGCCTGCTCCTCGCGAGTCAATCTTTTTCGGGTTTTGAACAACCTACGAAGAATGACGGAAGCCAATAGCTTGGACGCAATCGGAAGTAAACTTATCCCCCGATAGTTGTTACAGGAACGACGTGAACCCTTTTTAAAGACAGGGACAACTATCGACTCATTCCATGACGTTCGTACACTCTCTAGTTCCCAAACCTTTGTAAACAACGTCGTCAATTCCTTAGTCAAAAAGTCACCACCATCTTTAAAAAGAGCCGGAGGTAAGTCATCTGGGCCAGGTGATTTGTAACGCTTCAAGAGTTGGAGTTCCTTGCGGACTTCCTCCTCATTTGGTGGATCAGTCGTCACCGGCCATGGAGGGCAGGACAGTCTGACCGATGTTGCAGGAGCAGCAGGCCAGTTGAACTGCCCTTCGAAAAATTCTGCCCACCGTCCAAGACGTCGATGGATGTTAGTGATTGGCATCCCATCATCCTCGCAGATTGTTTCACTCACACCAGACTTCTTGCTGCCAGTGGCTCGGATGAGATGGAAGAGCTTCCGGTAGTTATCAGATGCAGCTGCTGCTTCCAGCTCATTAGCACGCTTCGACCACCAGGCTTCTCGGTCCTTACGCAAGCTTTGCCCAATTTCAGTACGTAACATCCTTCGTTTACGGTCAAATTTACGGTCACCCGGAGTAGACCGACGGGCTTCGATGAGTTGTAAGGAACCTGCAGAAACCCAGTGCTTAAAAGCGGGACGTTTCGCAAACCCACAACTGACTGTTCCCGCCATTTTCATGGCGTCATGCAATTGCAACCAATGCTCATCTATACTTTTCAGTGGAGTGGTAGCTAGCCTAGAGGCTAGCTCGGTTCGATACTTACTTGCAACAGAAGTTGCAACCAGATTGCTAACATCAACCCGTTGGTGGTGGTCACTCCGTTGTCCACTGAAAAGTAAGGCAAGATTGGCGCAGACCAAGGCATGGTCAGAGTCCAGATAGGTACTCCAAAAGGAGCGGCAGTCTTGTACACAACCACGCCAGTGGTAGCTGATCGCGATGTGATCAATCTGAGTCCAGGCTTGGGATGCAGAGGGAGGACGCCAGGTGGCACGTCGGCGATGACTGTGCCGAAAGTTAGTGCTAGCCAGAAATTGGTTGTGGTCTGTGCAAAGTTGCAGTAGACGGTCCCCGTTATATGACCTGCGACCAACGAGTCCCCATCGGCCACCTAAACGACTCTCTTCTGTGCCTAGACGCCCGACCTGAGCACTCAAGTCTCCGGCTAGTACTACAATATCTGTCGAACGCACTTTCTGGAGAAGAACAGATAACTGGTGGTAAAACTCATCCTTGATTGCATACGGGCTGCAATCTGTCGGAGCATAGGCGGAGATGACGAAAAAACATCGTTTCTCACACCGATTTCTTCTCACTTTGATGGAACGTTCCAATCTAACAGCACATAACCGACTGTTAATGGGGATCCAATCGACTAGTGCTGCCTCAGCTCTAGCGCTTAGTGCGACACCAACGCCTGCAAGACCAGACGAAGATGCCACAGGGTCCCCGGATAAGCGCATGTAAAAGAAGCTTTTTGAAGCGACAGATGGAGATCAAATTTGTAGTACTTCGCCAGAGTCTTGAATACGGGTCTCGGATAGACAACAAACATCAATATTAAGACTTTCCAAAGACATAGCCAGCCCTATCTGTTGTCCAACCTGCATAAATGTGCGAACGTTGAAGACAGCCAGTTTGAATGGTGCACGTGGTTTCAGAAAAACTGCTTCAGTTCTCGTATTCGGTGGTAACATACAATTTTCAACCGGACAGTGACTCGAGAACGTTTAGATACAGTCGAATTTCCACCAAAGACGAGCCGCTGTATAAGTATAAAAGAGGGTGAATAATGTGGAAAATAATAATAATAATAATAATAATAATAATAATAATAATAATAATAATAATAATAATAATAATGACAATAATAGTAATAATAATAATTTGAATCAATTGATTGTTTTTCGAAGCGAGAAAAATAATTTCCATAGACATAAAGAGTTCATCATTTGTGTGTGGGCTGTGATACTGCCCGGGTGCCCAAACCGAAGCAGGTGGTTACCTTAGGGGGCCACACCCCGAGCCTTTGACCTAAAGGTCTAACCCACAAGGCAGTGGAGCATCGTAAGTAGATGCAATCCCATGGTAGCCGGTGATCAACGATTGGTTCATACGCCATTTGTTCCCGCAGGATACTGGAGCTCATGTGCACCATTGATTTGTGATCCGGTTAAAGCGCCGGACATTCGCTTTTCGTCCTCTCATTTTCGTAAACAACACCCCCGCCACGAGAAGGCAATGAGTAGGACTTCCCTGGCAGAGGCTGTATACGCGTGGCCGTGTGAGAGCATTTCGAGAGGGGGAGCGGACTCTCCCCACTCTCGGCCGTACCAGGGCATTCGGGAGCAAGTAGTACTACAACTTATAGGAAGAGATATTATTGATAATTCATTTTATAAATCTCTCTATATATTGATCATAAAATTTTCGAATAGATTGTAGATTTTTTTAAGAAGGAATCATATTATTTGGAAAGAATGAAAAGATTATTTCATGAATAAGGAATATATATGAAAAATGAATTAGTTATTGTACATAAATCTTACTCTTAAAAATTGTACAGCATCTGGTCGAATTTGTGGATCTGATGACAGCATCATTTTGACATATTCTTTCAGATTATTCGGTAAATCCAATCCTTTGCTGGATAATAATGATGGGAGCTTATTAGAAAAATGAACAAGAATAAGAAAAAAAATGTGAAAGTTGTGTAGCTTATTTTTGATGAATTAATGTGTACATTTTTGAGTATTTGTTGAAAATAATTGTTACAATATCAATTGTAAGCTCCCTTTTAACTTACTACTTATATTTGTCTTTTGGGTTGACCATAAGTAAAATTCAGTTAACCATCAATGGGTTATTCGGTTATGTGTCAGAAATGTCTTAATAATGTGCCCACTGCAACCCATAAACTGTAGTGTTATGGTCCAGTATTTTATTTGTTGCGGACCTGAAAAATAGTTGTGATAACAATATGAGCTCGTGACCAGGTATTTGGCCTATGGGATGGATTTAGGAGAGTCAGTGCTTCCATGACCTAACGACCGTGCAAAAAAAGCGATTTAATGCGGTTTTATGTATGAAAACATTGGCAGCGTGGCAACAAAGAGATTGTAGAACAAAATAATATTTGCATCATTTGACTAGATCGATTAGATGATGCAGCAACGGTGAAAATAATTTCAATCTATCTAAAAACGTTTTATTGAAACGTTGATTACAAAGTCATACATACAGACTACAATACTCTCAAAACAAGAATATTGAGTTATTCGGTCAATCATAGAATTTATTTTGAAGCATGAAGTGAGCATATATTTGATTCATGATTTGCGTGAAGTGAGATGCGTTCTTTGTATCGAATTTATTACTTTCGATGGAAATAAGGAGTGGCAGCCAACACAAACGGTTGATTCAAATGAGCATTCTAAATACGGAATGTAAAAAAGTGCAAGGGCTTTGAGTTTTTACGATACTTTTGAAGTAAGTACGATTTTCTGTGAACAAACGTTATCATTTCATATACTCATCAATTGTCCTAAATTTATAAAGCAAAGCAGAGAATATTATGATACTTAGAGAGCATTATTTTGTATCATGTCAACTGTCCATCATATTAGCAACGCGCCCGGAACTAACACATCCAGATAGTCCAAATATTGGAAAACTGAATAGCAGTTTAGGTCTAGTATGGAACTTTCTTAATAGTACACACAACCAGACATGACGTTAAGCTCATAAAACTTCAGGCTATGCATAGCCAAAATCTAACGATTCACATTTTCATCATTAATCCAGAACGATTAGTGAGTTATAAATTGACTGGCAACTTCCTTGACTTTAAATATTATTGCTTCTCATTAGAACTTGAAGACATTTATTGTTAGCTAATGTTAGCTTATGTTCTACGGTATGATTGTATCGCAATGGACGCCACTTAGCACGCGTATGCGCACGAAGTTTTAATGATAGACGAATATGTATACATCTTATGAATATACATAAGTTAATGAACTCATTCAGACAGGTGCTTGTTGGGGCAGGTGACTCTGGGTGGATTAATTGCTTTCTTACTGAGGTATCGCATTTGATGGGTAAAATTACTTCTCAAAGTTTACAAAATCCCCACAAAGTATGTAAATAAAATAGGCTGGGTAACTACATATATATTGTTAGTACAATTCAAACCTCGATGGTGTATATGGTTTTTTTTACCTTGATATGTAAACAATACAAACATTTATACATAGTTCATACTTGGTATCAACGAATTTATAATCTAGATCACTAACGTTTCATGAAAGATGATCTATCGTCTAACGTCCAATCAATGATCACAGATCATCGTTTTAATTAAGATACAGCCAGAAAATTATCGCTTACATCTCACAAAAATGACGAGGAAACTGTGAGTTGATCTATCTAATAGCTTAAGGCACCATACATGTGTATTATTTGTCTGAAACTTTGCATCCTTTGCATTCACTGAAATTCCTAATGGGAAGCGATATAATTGAAGGCTATTAATTAATTCTCCTAATCGTATTCGTACCAATAATAGCGCATTTGTAACATTTAGATCGTTCTTGTTTTAGAATCCCTTGAGTAAATATAAAATTCCCAATATCTGCGTTCTTAACACCAGGGTGTCATTTCTGTTGGTCTAGATATCATCAAATGTATTTAGCAAGGTATTAAACCGGGGTGAACTAACATGGTATAAGTGATAAGTTGTTAGATAGTTTTCGCATAATAATAAGTTTTGTCTCGCATTTTATATGGAGAGAAACTTATCGAATAGCCTGCAGTTGTTTAGTTCTGACGTTTAATCCAATGTAATATTGATATATCAATCTAGTGATCATCAGAATAGGCAACAAACCAAAACTGAGTACGTTGTCGATTGAAACCTATTTTTTTCCGAATTCAATGTCACAAACGGACCTTTTAAGAACAAAAAATTATTCGACGTGGATACTGACAGTTCGTACACCGCCAAAGTTAATTCACCTACCACCTATTCTTATATATCTCATATCATTTTATGCATCTTTTCTATAGTGGCTTAAGATATTCTGGTTCACGATTCAAATAGTCAACGAACAAGTTTCTAGGTTGCTTTTTAAATCCAACCCACAGGTATGTATCAAAAACCCAGAGGAGTTGACGGAAAATATTAAATCTGAAATTTTCTCCATATTTACTACCATATATCTTTGAAAAAACATTATCGCTCTTCAATGGAGTAGTAATATCACCAAAATATTACTAAGTAATAGTGTATCATTGTTCGACACACGTAATAATAACAAGCCAAAAAGACGAGGTAGATAGCAATGACAACATTTATCCAATATATATTTAATACTACAATAAAATCCCATATATTTATTTGTATCTCACTAGATCTTTTTTGTTTGCTGTGGAATACTTAAACAAAAAAACTAAATATGCACAAAATTCTCGTTTACAAGATCATACTACTTACTTGTTTAACCGTTCGTTTGTAAGCGTGATAATCATCTCCAACATACAAAATGGATTTGCCACGATTGAATAGTGCACAGATTAAAAGACCGAGCGAAAACATATCACTTGCACCAGTCACTTCACCCTAATAATTTTAATAATATAAAAAATACTTTGGGTGTTGTGAATTGGCATTCTTTAAAAAATGATTCGAATCCCGCGAGCAGGATCGTGGATACGTACTGCTGAGGAGTCCCACAATAGGACGAAACGGCCGTCTAGTGCTTCCAGGTTTTCAATGGTGGTCTAACATCAATCGGTTCATGATCTCAATAAAGAATAAATTAAGTATGGATGGGATTGTTTCTAAAAACCAATTAGTAAAAGGTATCACATCGCATATTATTATAAGGGCTCAAGTTCTTGTTAAAAGAGAATCTTCTATGTCATCGACTATGTGAATTCACGAAGGAAGTTATTGTGAATGGACTAAAGTTAACATTTAAACTAATGTCAAGAACTCTGCCCCAGAAAACAAGCTTAAGAGTCAACGAAGTTAAAAGTATATTTCTCGAAGTGATCTGCCAATATAGAAGCGTAAAAACCATTAATCTACATTGAAAACAGTAGAAAACTGAAACGGCTAGCACCAGAAAAATACTTGAAAGACGGGTAGCAACCTGAAAAGGGAATATCGCTTACACAAGCATCGTTATTTTTTGTTAGACAGTAGTAACTTTTAGATATATTACAATACTAAAATTTTGAACAGAAAGACTAAGTCTAGTTACCTGTTCGACAGAAGTTTTTAGGTGATAAACACCCCCTACCAAAGTAAACAAAATGAAGTACTCCATTTCGATAATCGCAACATGATTATCATGGAATGATAGCACCAATCACTGATTTCACTCATATAGTAAGTACACAATTATAAACTTGGATTTGAGCCACACTAATTGTGTGAGGGCTAACAATACTACCCGGTTGTCAAAACTAAAATAAACGGGGCAGGGTTCGAGCTTGTGGTGCATCAGTTGAAAGCCAAGTGTTTTAATCAGAAAGCCGCCGCTCTAGGACCTATATCAATAGGGTTTCGAATCCGACCTATTAAGCATAAATCGATGACGTCTTAGATAGGTACATCTGTATTCGAAAACTTAGACGACACAGTCATTTCCTATGACATGTCTAAACCGTTAAAGTAATCAGTTGCCAAACAATCAAGTCATCTACATTTACAAACTACTCTCCAAAAATTAACAATTCAAAAAAATAAGTAGAGCATTTGATAAGATATTAGATATCTAACAGAACAACCGTAGAGAAGTCTAAACTAATAACTGACAACAGATTATCAATATTTGCCGATTCTTATCAATAAGAAATCGATGTACCCGTTTAATGAATGCAAAGAAAAGTTAAGCATAAAATATATGGACATATATATATGTCAGCCAGCTACAATGTAGGACCAGGCACATATATGCATCGGTCCAAGTTGCCACACCTCATTAGCACAACAAGATGAACACCATATATAATGTCAGTTCATTAAAACTATTGATTTGAGACAAACATTTCATTTCCAGTTCAAAACAACTAGCTTATGCTGTGCAGAAGAGCAATGACAAATCAAGTTCGTTCGTAATGGAAGAGCTTACTACATAAAACTCAATTAAAAAGAGGGAAAATATTAGAAAGAAGTGATCATATAACCTAATTAGTTAGATTTGTTGGTTATAAAAGTTTAACTTTATGATACTATTAATTCTGTTCGTACATTTGGTCACTGATTATTTAATGTGAAGTACTGGTCAGTTTAAATTACTCAGATCTGACTGTTTATCAATGTAAATGAAACATAAAAATCAGTGTATTTAGGAATAATTTTGATCTTCTTTAGTGTATAATAAATTTTCATCTATCGTTTTCGCCTCCTCCTTTGTAACGAGCAATATCATCTCTTTGTTTATAACACTTTATGGTATATTGTTCATAAAATATCATTTGGTTTTTGTATGCATATATATGATTTAGAGAACACACTTCATCGAGTATAAAAGCGGTAATTTTAACTGTTGATAGTAAAGTATAGTTTTGCGATGACTATAGGTGAATATAACCAAGTGATCAAGCGACAGACAGACTTAACAATCGTTTTCTTGGATAAATTGATGGTATGTTTTCATCAGCTTAATTTATTCTGATATCTACGTTTCAAGAAATAATCTTTTGTACGAGAAGCATAAGCTTTTTCATTTCATCGCTTCTGTGAAGTACAGTACATCAACCATACCAAAGGGTTGATTTCAACACAGATATAGGCGCAAGTTTTAGCATGATTTCAATTAAAAGTAACAAGAAATCTTTCGGAACCTGTGATCAAGCTAACCAACATACTGTTTTTGACAGTGCTAATAAGAATTAATCAAAATCATCCAAAGCTACTTCCTTTTTAAATTTTCATGATAGCGGAAGTTTTAACAGCGTACTAGATGAATGTTCCTTTGTTTATGGAAACCTGATCACATCTCACCTACTTTATTTTGAGCATAGATTTTACGCAACTCGTCTTCCATATACAAAAATCGGGACTTGAAGACTGGTACATCAACATGTGTTGAGTTATATATATATATATATATATATATATATATATATATATATATATATATATATATATATATATATATATATATATATATATATATCATCTAATTCGTCACCAATCGTCATACAGTCTGTTTGAATTGCTTTCCTGATGCCAATATGTTTAGTTAATTGGTTACCGTTCACAATACATCATGGTTGCAAACTCACTCCTTTTCCTTGACTATACTGCTTGTTTTCTGCCAGGTCACAACTAAATCTGTAGTAATGTTTCATAATTCAGTGTCTCAATACTACTCGGACATATAAATCTGTAACGTGTACATATCAATATTACATTTAGAAGCATTATTTTGTAGTTATGGTTTTCGAATATTTAACTAATGGTATGGTTTATTAGTTTTTTACATGTTATTTTGTGTTTTGACTTGACATGATCAATCAATCGAAGGTTCATATACCCAACTTTGAGTCCCATTTTGTGTGTGTGCATGAGAGCTGGTTAAACTGTCCGGCTGCGTGAAGTGACTGAGGTGGATTGGTGTTTAAACGCGAGATAAAGTGCTTGGAAACCGAATTTTTTACTACTAAACATCACCACCATCTCAGAAATCCTGTTTCCCTTCGTTATTTTTCTAAATTCTACAGCTTACCTATTACAATTAAGATAGGTTTGAAAATATTTCATATTATGAATACTGATACTAACTAGTTATTGAAAACCGAAGAACCAGCAAGCAAACGGGTTACAATTACTGAAATTAGTTAAAATTTCATAATTACGTTTTTTTAAGCGTCAAGTTGAGAAATAAGTTTGTTAATAAACTACTCATCTCTCCGATGAATTTTTCCAGAAGCGTTTACATATTTTTTGATATAATAACCATCATTTATGGCAGAAATGAACGGTTTAAGGATATGTGCACCACAACAAAAACTTGGCGATTTCATGGATTATGAACACTTCACATTGATATATACAACCAAAACTGTACAAGAAACAAGACCAAGAAATATAAATATTGATGGACCAATGGTAGTAGACAGTTAATGGAGGAAGAAAGACAAAAGAACCAGGCACAAACGAAAAGGAAAGTGGGGAAATCTCAGAAAAAATTTCAACACATAATTCGAGCAATTACCAGGTGTATTTTAAAGTGTCCCCGCTTAAATTCTCTAGCTGTTACGACTTGATTTATGTTACATACACCAGTTGTGTTAAATGTCTAAATTACCTAAATCTTAAGTATTTAGATCACTGTCTTTACACTTTGACGATTCCGAAAAACAGCGAAACAAATATTTAGTGCTCTCAGATTTCTAATGGTTAGCTTCAGCTGAAACTGAGTTTATGCCAAAAACTATCTTCGGGTTACACCAAACTTTCATAAACCCCTCATTCACAATGTAAAATTCGTGAGCATAATCCAAAAGAATTACTTACCTGAAGGATCGCCTCAGGGCTACTAGCATTAAGATTCAATTGACAAGCAGGCATTAAATTAGATTGCCAAACAGGTATTTTGGCAAGAGATTGTCCTGATTTTTCGTTCTGGTCTGCTACTTTTGAAAATTCGAACCCACTAAGTTTCCAAATACCAAAACGATTGATTACTACTGATTCAGGAGTCAAGTTTAAGTGTAAACGATGACAATCAGAGTGTAAAAAATTCAGTGCCTCTGCAAGCTGAAAGTGAAAAAGAAACGCAATAGAATTCTTTCAGGACCGTAACATCGAGTCATCCATATAGTGTTGACTAGGCTAGAGATCATTAAGTTATGGAAGCATTTTTGACGCAATCAAAGAACGAAATGTATGTATGAAGCGGGTGGAAGGTGATGATCAATGTCTGGCTGATTAATATTAATCAACCAACGAAACTGGGATCTTCTTTACAAAGGATGAGCTGAGTTGTGGAAAGATTAGTTTAAAAGTCAGTGAGGTACCGAAAGAGTTTAGTTTGGACTTCAGGAAGTTGAATTCGCCTAACTTTCCAGATAAGGTTGATTAGTATATAATGAATAAGACTAAAAAGCAATTTTCAATTATCATCATTATAAATCATCAATCAAGTACAGCTTCGTGCACTTGGCTTTGAGCCATACTGCGAATGTGGGGGCTAGTGATACTACCCAGTGTTCAAACCGAGTTACATGGAGAGGGTTAGAGGCTGTAACTAAGTGGCTGAAAACTGAACCCCTTAGCCACTGAGTCAGCACTTCACAACTTTTTATACATTACTTCAAATAGATAACACAAAATTGTGTACTTTAAAAGAAATATGTAGTGAAAATGTCAATACGTGCTATAATTTTCATATCGAGGACCGCCAAGAAGTCTTTGGTATATGAGTACAGAATCAAGTGTTCCGTCTTATTCGTTATGTTTGCGTAAATGACTGACCTAAATATGGTAGCGCCAAGTTTCAAGATTAAAACATAGCTTTTAAAGATAGCTGAGTGACATGATAAAAATGCTTTACTGAACGAGGAGAGGTTAACGAAATAAATGAATTTTCCATGATTTACATAAACATAAAATAATAAGTGGAATTTTACTTATGAGGCCTATTTTGAGTAACATAAGCGAAAACTCCCTAACCATGAATCTTAATTATCTCGCACACTTCCACCAAAGGACCTACTTTCCCGCAAACCTTGACCAACAATTATGGGCTTTATAATTTGAGAAAACTTTTGGATTGGACCATTCTTAACAAGACTACATACTAACCAACGTAGCAGCTAGAAGTACTCTCAAAATAAGATGATCGCTGGTTGGCTGTTATCCACTATTATTTCGATGTTTGACTGGTAGTTATATTACATTGTTATAACCGATATTTCAAGACTAGTTGAAGTAGGTATCGAGTTGTTGATGAAATTCATGGAAATCTCTGTTGATTTTCTTTAACTTTTATTGGTGTATAAAACGAAAAAGGCGTGAAGTATTGAATACATATATGAAACTAAATGACTGTAAAAAATCTTTTAAATTACCTGCACCAAACCATATTTAATCTCAGTATCTGATAAAGAAAAATCCATAGACTCGTTTGGCTGTCTAATGTTTGAAGAGTCTCTTGTCAATACACTATTTAGTGAAGTAAACAATGGTTCCGTTGCATAAGCAAGACTTTCACGTGATTCCTCTAAAGGCTGAAGAACTGATACTATTTTTGGGTGCTTAATCCTCATCAACGTAGACACACCGTATTTAAGTATTTCAATCATAGATTCTCGTTGCAACTTTGGATAAGACTCTAACAATTTTTTTTCCATTATCCATATAGTGGCTTCCTGTGATAAGGGACGAAGGTGATGAGACTTACTTGATGAGTAGAACGTTTTTTAGCTGAATACAATTTCCATAATGAACCTGGACCCGTTTGACCAATTTGTTTCTCAATATCATACTCTCGAGTTAACGGATTGCCAGGTAAGGCACCTGATACTTTTGTTTTTAATTTGTTGAACACAGAGTCCATCTGCAATATTATAGACAAAACTAACATAAAGATGAATGTTTATTCGCTATATTGACAATTATGAAAACTAGGCCACTTATGAGCCGCCAAATAAAACGATACATATCAAGAATAACGAGATGAATCACTTTATTCTGCTTTACAATGAAGTTACCTAATACTCAGTTTGATATCACTGTTATTTTTTCAAAAAACATAAAGAGAGAGTACCTGATGTAAGGCATTAAAAAAAGGTCCAGAGGGAGGAACATTTCTATGGAGAAACAAGAAAAAATCACATAAAAGTAAGAACACGAATACTAAATTAAAAAACCAAATGAGAACGGACAATTAAAAGCACACTGACGGAAGGGTCGTACTTTCCCGTCTTAATGACACAGTGAAGTTAGATCGGCTGGACTACAATATCTAAAGTTTTTGAAATTCTTAAGCATTCTCTATGTTTATCATTGAGATATGGACATTATCGTCATGATATGGGCATGAAATAGAATTCGTATATTTAGCTATATTCGAATATTATGGCAGTGCAACACATTATCGGGCTACCGGAGTTTAAGTTATACACATTCCCTTCCTCGTGGGTGGAAGGAATTCAGTGTTACAGGCAAACCAGTGACCAGTAGACATATAGATGACTATTGAGAACCGAACGTAGAACTTAACACTGAAGAGATTGTAGTTACAACTGGTAGAGCTGAACCTTATCCACTCATCCTAATTCACCACATTATATTGTAACCGTACTTTGACCCTAATAGATAACCGTGGTTCCTCAAGGTCAGTTTGGTAACACCCGAAAGGCACCCACAACGCTTAGGAGACCAAAGAGTAACCCGAATATACGCAGACTACAAGACCAAAAAAAACACTGTCTTATGACGCTAAAGTCGATAAACAACATCTATAACAATGTAGCTTTTCAGAAGTAGTCTTCAGAAGCATAAAAGACGAAACTCAGTCAACAACTTCGTTTTCCATTGTAGGCTGACATAAGTTAACATCTTTGGAGCAGTGATAAGCAGTTATAAATATAAATCCCAAAAACAATATAGTGAGCAGCTTGATCAGTTCCCAGGCAACCAATAAAGGGGCAATAAAGCGGACGAAAGCGTAATTAAAAGGGGGATGTCGACATTTTGCCTCCACGTTGGTTATTTAGAGGAAATGTCGATTTTTCCCCCTTACGTCGTGTATTTGAGAGAGATTTGTAGACAAATATACGTAAAGTACCATGTTTGGATATGGCGCCTCCTGTGCTTATGTTTCCATATACGTATACAAAATGACGTACCGTTTAATAGAAAATGAAGATTCTTACCACTAACAAAAGTGAGGTAATGCAGGCACATGGATTTACCTCAGATGCTTATATTTTTACTTTGTTGTTTGTTTAGCTAAAGTGTTCGTAGGTGTTTGGTGGCCATCATATATGGCTTACGAGATGCAAGTAAGTGGCATGGTCTCTTCTATGTTCACTACCACTGTCCTATAAGATACGTCGACATCAGCGTTCGAGTCCAGGCGTGTAGGCAGCGCGTTTGCGTCCGAGTAAGTTACATGTCCGATTGCGTTAAGTTTTTGAGATTAGATAGGCTCCATACTGTACTGCAGAACACATCGCCCGGTATTTCCGACTTGAGTGCCAATATGAAGCAGCTACTTTCAAAGTCTTGTGAGCGTAAACACCCGCGAAAATTCGATTGCGACTGTCAAGTCAACAGTTCCCTTTATCAACTGAAGAGGAACTGGGACGTTGGACGTTTGTCTTCAGCAGGAAGAGTTAAGGGACAGATCTGTAAGCCAATAAAGTTAATTTGATCATTTTTTTTATTACAGATGAGCATATTGACGCGCTTAATGGATGATAATCGTAAAACGGCAATCGATATATTTTGTCATACATCACAACACCTGAAGTTCCCGGTCATTTCACGCTACTTGGCACTTCACCGAAAGGAGAACTTCAGAAGTGCAAGTTTTACGGCTGCTTACGAAGTATGAAATGTTATTTTTTAAAATTCAGGTGCATTAACTAATCGGTTCGTCATCAACTGTCAACGAAAAAGACATTGCAAAACTGTATGATGTCGCGACGCAACGCTATTTTGACGACATGACAGACAAATTACAGCAGCGTAGTTGAGGAAAACAAGAACAGGTATGTACTAATTTAGTGTGATAACTACTCTCTGCTGCTCTATAGGCACAGTCTTCAGTGTTAACGAACATAATCTTAAATGAAGCTTCAAGTAGCTAGTTGTGTAAAAACATGTCATCTATCTATCGTTATAACATTTTCTGTTCTTTACATCTCAGAATTTACAAGATTATTTTGATTCGCAACAGTCAAGCAGACATTACGAAAATAAATAACCAGTGTAATATTTATCATGTTCAATTTAGTTTTCCATAAACAATCTTTAAACATGCACTTACTTTCTTGCTGGCATATAAAAGTCTTTAACTAAGTGTTGGGAAAGCCGGTTTGATTTTAACTGCACATGCAGTTAAGTACATGTGCCTAACAAGTGACTCATAACCTGTTCTTTCTTTTGTGGATCTTTTCAAATTAAAATAATGACCGATGCTCTAGCATCTGCCAACTGCTCATGATGTTTTACAGTATTACATTTTTTTCTTTTCAGTAGATTTCGTGTGGTGTTATGGAATTAGAGGCGAACTCACGAGATGTTTGGCGATGTGACAAAGGTGTTTTAAAAGTGGAAGGCAAAAAGTAGACAATTCAGTGACGTTTGAAAACAGAGCAACATAAAGGAGAAAATCCCCATCATTTCCAACGAACAGTCGAAAAAGCAGACATTTTGGCGCGTTTCACCGATAATTCATCTTTATTTCCCAACGCGATTTCCCCTTTGTTCGCCTTTATTTCCCCTTTATTGGTTGATTGGGTTGGTGAGAAACGCACTTGGAGTAGAACCCTCGATGAGGTGCGCATAAGCTCTCGGCTCAAATGGCTTCCAAGTAACAGAAACTGCCTAACAAAAGGCATTAATTCAGACAATCCATTATTCAATAATTTTAAATCGATGGCCGACTCCATCTTGCCGTGTTGTTACAGTGAACTAGCTTCAGATTAAACCGCACGTGAAAGAGTCATTATTCCATTTAATAATAATAATGCGACACACTTTTATAAGACGAATGATTTTCGCATCCACTTCTAAATGTCAATTTACGCTTTAGGGACTTAGTTTTATCGAAACCATCTCAATAAAAAACACCAAATTTGTACATATATTCTGCAATTAATAACATTAGTAATCATTCCAGTTGTTTTTGCATGCTTCTTGTTATTTACTAATAAGTTACTGTTTGAATATCATCATTTGATTTCCCAAGAAGTCCTCACCATTTGCTTGATACGGTCATAGTTCAGAAAACACGGTGCAGCTTATATGATACTTGTTCGCGTTCAATCAACTCTCACAATAGGGGACAAAATCAAGGCTCATATAGAGGAATAATAAGGTTACTGTGAAATATGGTGTCTGTTTCACTGGTAAGATTTCAGTCACACTCTCCTGAGATCAGTAATTCAAAAGACGGTAATAGCCATAATCTTCCTTAAAACAATGTTGAAGGTGCCACAGGTATTCGAAATTTGACAACGCTTTAACCAGTAACACCTAATATGAAGGGTACCCACCAAATGAAACCAAGAGACAGAAGCGATGAGGTTCAAAGATATATTTGATAGGTTATCAATATATTGAGGATCGACTGGTCTAATCTGGCTAACGATTGCAGATGTTGAGCACGGCGTTCCCACTCGTGATCTGGTACGGACGCATGACCGAGCGCCTGAAGTTAGGTGAGTCCATCAAAACTAATGTGGTCAGCATCCAGTGTCGAAAACTTACAGAGCTATTTATTTTGGGGATTTATATACCTCTACGACTCAAAGAATGATCAAAATTGTGCATAAAATATAAATAAAACATACTGCACGAAAGGTAATAGGGACGCGTATGAGCACTGAACAGCAAACTCCCCCTAAATCAAACAGGAAACATGCTTCAAAATCAATCTCACGAAGTAGAGGTTATCAGTCCACAAAGTATCAAGCGAAGTGCGGTAGTCCAATATCCCGAGCACCGTAAAGGCAAAGTTAAGTAAAACAAAGATAAAATGGTTATTGAAAAACTTACTCCTACCGTTAATTTTTGGTACTAGACTTCAAATTAACCATCAAGAGGTTACCTTTATGAATCACAGAATGCTTCGTCAAGGTCCTATGGTAACAATACCAATAACAATTTATACTCAACTAACGGTTTGTTACATGAGGCATGCCAGTTTACGGGCAAGATCAAATTGTTACGAAAGATACAGTTTTCACTGTAGTAAATTACTAAGCTGTGTTGATATTTTATAAGATATGAATGTAGGTGGTTTTAGTAAGACTCGTATTGTCGATATCACAGTTGGCGCGCTTAATGAAGGTTGCGTTGCGACGTGCAACTGATGGTCGAGAATAGATCCATGTGAAGTCGAGGCTCCTAGATACCCCAAACTTGAGATAGTCATGACAATTTGATCCTGAAATTAGATATTATCTGGGCATTAGTTTGGGGTTTATTGATTGTCTAATTCTTATTTAATGAGCCACAGTCGATACTTGGGGAGCACTCTAGAATCTTCTCACGTAAAAACTATAAATATACTATCGTTTTTCTTATTGCGCTTCTTACTTCCATCTACCCTTGTCATTTGTAATATAATTTCTTTCCTGTTCACCTGTGTTCTGGTCTAGGGACTTGTCGAGTGAATTGATATCCAAGAACACTAGGCAATAGGAATAGTTGGGTTGTAATAGTAGAGAATCATAACAGTGACGACGGTAAAAAAGGAAAACAAATTCAAGATGTCCAGGTCAGAAAACCAGCTCGACGGAATACTATAACAACGGCAAGCACACAACTTGATGAACAAATGTGGTTGTTGGATACTCTGACTCAACAGCTCAACATCCACCGCTCGAGTCCACACGTTATTTAAAGTACGTCTTGTGATGCAGTTGCTAGCAACATCCTTAAATTCATCTATCACCCCGAAAGTGGAAATACTTTTCTCACCTGGTTAAAACGTTGGGTAGACACAATTATAATAAAATTATGTAAACAAGACGACGTGTGGAAGACTAGATTGTTGGCCCATAAGTTGAAAAACAATGAACATGTACATTATGCTGGCCATATATTGCCAAAGTTACCCCGAGAGCTCAGTTTTGAGGAGACGGTAATTCAATTGTCAGAGATATTCGGTGAATCGTCCTCGTCGTTTAGTATTTGATATCAGTGTCTAAATATAGTGAAACGAGAAGCCGATGAATAAGGTGCCTTAGCAGACGTCGTCAACAGAGAGTGTGAGCGGTAAGAGTTACGCCCGTCGACAGAAGACCAATTTAAATGCTTGATATTCATCGAAGCTCTTTGGTCATCACAATATGCTGAAGTCAGGACCAGAATTTTGACTGGGCTGGATCAAGACTCAAACGTCACACCCACAACATTGATAGATGAGTGTAAGCTGCTAAAAAACATCAGACATGACATCGAGTTAACTGAACAGGCAATTTCTTACTTAAACTGCAGTAGTGGGAATGCAATCACTAGGTTAAAGTTTCAGAAGTCGATAGCAACGCGTAACAAACCAACGACTGCATGTTGGTTACGCGGTGAATGCCAATGTGTAAGATTCGGTCCATTCAAAATACATAAATTTCATTGTGCAACAGACGTGGACATAAAGAAGGTCATTGTCCACCGAATCGAGAAACTAATTAGTGGCATACAAAACAATCAGACACCGAATATTCGCCGTAAGGATTTTGATCCATAAAAACATGGTCCAGTACAATACAATTATTTTAGATTTCCGTAGTCATACTTGCCGTGTCTAGTCTTATCTCTAATGGTTTAGATGGTTGTGTGCGGCATAGAAAAAACCTTTTCCTTATGCGTTTTCGTATTTAGTAGCAAAGAATTACGAACGCCACTAGTTAAAGACGCAGGCATATTTAACAGGAGAAATAAAAATATTAGTAAACTATAACGGATTACATTTCTTAGTCCTTAAGAATATATCAGGCAATACAGTGAAAATTCTCATTTTGCCATTTGGTAAATCAAGAAGGAACGAATTGAGCGAAGAAATTTCTTTTCAATTAGTTTATCATCATGGCTCTACACTAATATATATACGTTTTTCAACAATAATATA